CACACAATGGAATACTATGCTGCATTGAAAAACAAGGAACTCATGAAATATTATTTAAAATGGGTGACCCTGGAGGACATTATGCTGAGTGAAATATCTTAGTTACATTTTTAAGTTCTGTTTTCCAGAGTACAATGAAAATGTCTCAGCTTTGTTCTTTCTTCACAGGTGTGTAGTAATGAAGCCACCTGCATCTGTGATTTTACCTGGGCAGGAACAGACTGCAGTATCCGGGATCCAGTTAGGAACCTTCACCCCCCCAAGGATGAAGGACCCAAGGGTTTGTGTGATTTCAGTTCTAATTCATTGCATCCTGGATTCATCAACACTGTTTCTCTGACACCAGTATAATTTAGTGGTTTGGAAAGGAGACACTTAAGAATATATCTTTTTGTCATAAAAATGTATAAGTCATATTATTGCAGAATTAGGGTTCTCTGTATATATAGCGTATTATAAAGGAAAAGTGTGTTTGAATTTCCTTTCTTTAGTAGTTAGATTAGGAAGAAATAAGTATATTAATTTATTTCTTTCTCAACTTCCTTTCTTGCCTTTAAACCTCATTACATTTCCTTGATCACAAATGGGGTTTTTTTGGTGTGTGTGTGTGTGTGTGTGTGTATGTGTTTTTCTTTTTTTTTTTTTTAGTTTTTTTAAACCATGCCAGTTTCCTAATATATATTCTGACCGTTCCACAATACTTGAATATCTTCAGAAAGAAGTTAGCACCTTCCTGCTCTTTAAAAAACACTCCCTCAATGAGGAGAAAGAAGTTGAAATTCCTCACAAAATTTTAATTCATTGACCAAAACATGAAAGGTGTGGACCTCTGTTTACTCAGTTTTTAGGAGAGACAAAATTTTCTAATTACAAGCGTCCTCCATGGCTGTCTGGAACCATCCTCTCAATGTGCACATGAGAAGTACCAGGTACTGATTTCAGGTTTACTTTAGTTACCCAGCTAATAAGAGACAGGGCTGGGACCAAGCTTCAAGTGCTTGATCTCAGGCTCGTGCTTTCTAACATTCCATTATGTTATCATGTGGTCTGTGTCATCATGATCTTGGTAATTATTCTCATTGTATTTTTCTCATCATCTTCCCTTCCTGTGACTCTCAGTCAGTTCTAGAAGAGTCATCAGTTGCAATAGGCTTACTGCAGCATCTATTTCTTTATTCCTGAGAAACCCACCTTAGTGATTAAGCCAGCATATTAGATGACTAATGGTATACAATAACACAACTGTGGGTTTCATGTTTGTTTGTGTGGTACTGTTAGTGATATCTTATAAATAAATGCCATGCTTTTCTCCTACAGGTAGAAAAATACTTGCAGAATTACAGTACCTTGATCTCCTTAGATTGAGATCAAAGTTCATTTTAAAAATCCTAAACTTCAGAATCGTCTGTATGGGAAAATCTGACTCCTGAAGTAAATGAAGTCCAATAGTCCTCAATCCCTGAAGGGCTATTTTGGGTTGATTTGGGTGAACTGCTTAGTGACTTTGGGTGTGTTAAAACACATTTCATGCATTTTCTTAATATGCTCACTCTACCAGAATTCTCTAAGAGTCATCATCACACCCGTACAGTCTATATCTGTCTTCCTTCTGTTTCTGAAAGGAAAACAATCCCTTTTCTACATTTAGTCACTCGTTATTTTAGAACACAAAATTCTTAGATCCACCTCCAGAATTTAGATGTAGAGAAGTTTTAGACTGTGACAAGAGGGAAAAAAAAAGAGGCTCATTCTTTCCAAATTTTCTCTCCTTAGCAAGTCTGTGATTCTTTTAAAGATCTAGTTGCTATTTTCTCAAGTGATATTTGAGACGTTATGGTGTGAATATGACAGAACAGAGGAAAGGGCCGAATTTGCCTAGACTCTTGCCTTTTTCTCTGAGTGGGCTGGGGAATTCTTAATTGCACGTTCTATTTATTGATGGGAAATAAAACAAAATGGGGGAAATGGAAGAGCGCTTAGGTGGCAGAGCCTGTGATGAAGTGGCACTGCTAAGCCCCAGGGCTCCTCTCTGGAGTCTGAATCCACCAGCAGCTGCCCGGAAGGAAGGTGAACAGTCCACTCCCATGCAGTTCACAGCCTCTGGAACCCACGGCAGGGTCCAGCAAGGGTCCTTCCAGCTTGATGGCACTGAGCTGAGTCTGCTCACCATTCCTTAACCTGCTCATCTCATGGAAACTTATTTGGAGGCTCAAAGCAAAAGATTCACCCTGGAGAAGAGGCCACCACCAATTTCTCTATGTTTTTGCTTTGCTCCCAAATAACTGTGCTCCACATCCAAATGCCAAGTCTCTGTGGCAGTTTGAATTCACCAGTGACTCCGTGGGAGATGAGCAGTCTCCTCCAATTTGAGTTACAGCCTTGGAAGCCCAATCAATAGAAGGTCAACTATGAGGAGATTCTGACTCAATGGCAATGAATCAGAGGGAGATTTTTTTTTTTTTTTCGTTTTATCCACTGTATTGTTGTTGTTGTTGTTAATGTGCTGTTGGGTCACCTGCAACTCATAGCGACCCTATAGCTTTTTTAAAGAACAATTCTTTAATCATTCAAGTAGGGGAGCTCTTGTGGCTTAGTGGCAAGAACCTGTGCTGCAATCCCAAAGGGCCAGGTTCAAGGACACCATGGGAGAAGGGTGGGCAGTCTCCTCCCATTCAATTAATGGCCTCTGAGAACATGTTGGAAGGTCACCTGTGGGTTGATTCTGACTTGATGGTACACAGCAACAACAACAACAATCATTCAAGTACTATGTGCTTGAGAAAACTTTGACAATACATAGAAGATTGCACAGAAAATAAAAATTACCCTTACTCTTGTATTTTTGCTTGCTTTATATTTTCTTTTTAAAATTGTCAGTGAAGACAGTTGAGTCCTGAGAGATACCCAATATTCTATAAAGTGCTAAAAATCCTGACAAATTTTAATAAGCTTGATTAAATCACAAGTAATACATTAATTAACATAAATGTCGATAAGGTAACATTTATACTATTAGATTTCTGGAAAATAATTTTTATGCAAATAAATAATGAAACTTTAAAAAAAAGCAAAAAAAACAACAACATACAAACCTAACCCAAAACATCAGATCAATTCTAACACATAGCAACCCCCCTTTGGATTTCTGAGGTTATAACTCTTACGGGGAGGAGACTGTTTCATCTTACTCTTGTGTAGTGACTGAAGGGTTTAAACTGTCGTCCTTTCTATTAGCAGCCTAGTACTAAAATTACTATGCTACCAGGGATCCTTAAGTAATAACTCTATTTATAATGGTTATATCATTTCAGCCTCTATTGAAATTCTATAATTTATTAGTCTATTAGTGAAACGAAAAGTAATAGAAACCAAAAGTCCTTGCTCCAAAGTATATTCCTTCCTTTTTTTGAATTTACATCTTACTTGCTAGTTCTGATTTGTATTTTTTCTTGCGGAGCCCCTCTATACATTGTAGGTACTACGTAGAAGTAGCTACAGTAATTTGATCTGTTATTGAAACAAGTGAAGATCTTTTTCCTGTATAGATACACTGTAAAGTTTTTGAAGAATATTTTTAATTTCTTTTCAGTATGCTTCTTTGTTAGGGAAAGAAATTCAAGAAGCACACTGAAAATATAGCCTTTTTATCATAATTATATGAACATAAAACATAAATTGTGCCTCATTGCAGTATGTTTGAACAAGATAATGTTGCTAAAAATGAAGAGAAACCCAATGATTCTACATCCCATGATTTGAAAATATCAAAAGTTAACCCATGCGTTTTAGATAGGTTCATCATTTTGATCATGAGTTCCTGGAACAATCAGAGTTGGCTTTTCATCTGGTCAGGACCAAAGGCAGGTACATTAAAGCATTGCCACTTAGGCCACTCAGTTGTTGCTCAAATTATCCACGGTGGTCCCAGTTTAAAGCATGCTTGAGCATTCACTCCAGCTCTTCGGACCCCATTCACAGGAAGGGGAAAAGTAAGCTCTTCTAGCATAAGTCTATCAGAGGTAATGAGATGGCACAGGATAAAGTCAGGATTCAGATCTATTGTTCATAGAGTGGCTATTAGTCATGGTCAACTCTGTGGTACCTAACCACAACAATATAGCATAAACCATTTGCCAAAGGTTATGTTTTTGTTTTTAAATTCTTACAATGCTTCTTTCATTTTCCCCTAAACTCTCATGTATTTCACATCCCCAAACTCTTCCCATGTCTCACAATTATCTTATGAACTCATGGAATTGAATTGCTCTGCTTTCCTCTACAAAGGTAAAATATATTTGAGCAGTGTTTAAGAGACCAGCTTGCTCTAGGAAAGATTAAGGATGCTTAATTTTTCTCAGCATCAGGCATAGAGAGCTCTGGTGGCCTATTCCTTGTTGTCGTTGTTGCTAAGTACCATCCCGCTGGAACCAGCACCTAGTTCACTGAGCAGGTTTTTGGAGGAAGTCAGTCACCCATGAGGCGATTGCTCATCTTTCCCCATTGAACAACCTGTGAATTAGAACTGAGCTCCTTTGGTTGGGCAGAGCAACTCCTTACCACTAAACCACCAGAACCCCTTAATCCTTGGAGAGTTAAATAGTCTTTATGAATACTTGCATCCTTTTAGACATTTGCCTCAGTATATAAAATGAATTTTATTTTCTTCCATTTCAGAGAAAAGAAGGCAGTGATATAGTTGTATGTCTTATACATTGAAATATTAAAATAGCTAAATATATTAAATCAATATTACATCCTCGGCTATAAAGAATTTATTTAGCATTAACTTCAAATTTGAACTGTTAGATAAATGCCTACAGAAACAACTTTGGTCTAGAGAATACAAAGGGTAGTTCTGGAGCTTGTCTTTGAAGTCTTACGGGACGCAAGAGTTTAGACTGTTGGCACATTAGAATCACATGAGTGAAATAATTCACCAAAATATTTTATCTTCTTGTTTCAGAAGCTCCTTTAAAGTAATGGGGAGGAACCCTACTTAGTTTCAAAAGAATACTTGCAAAACATCTAAAGTATGTGCAGAAAAACTCTACATGTAAAATAGAAAACTATGCAAAGGGAGAAAGTTACTGCCTTTTCATAATGTTACATACTTGTGAAAAAGTCTACCTTTTATCATAGATCAACTAGAGAGCTAGGACAAAGATGAGTAATAATAATAATAATAATAACAACAGCAACAACAGCAAAGGCAGAAACAAACAAGAAAAACCTAAATGGAAATACACACAAGTTATAATGAAAGGTAAGTGGGGGCAAAAA